CAATATGATCCCCTCAGAACCCAAGGATCCATGAGAAATTATCTCCAAACTTGGGCAAAGCAGTTTAAAACATTGTTGTACCATGTCTGATGGAGTAAGAATGTGTGTATACTGTAAAGCAAAGCCACATTGGGCCAATTGCCACTTCCACTATGTGGAATCAAACTCCAAATCCTATTGTTAGAAGTCTATATACATAATGTTGGCCCATTGAGGGTACATGTGCCCAGCCCACACCATGCACAAACCATAGCCCCAAAGCTATAAAGACTGCGAGTTATCCCAAAAACAGCAACCCAAGAACTAATGGCAAACATTCAGGAATCCAGAACCAACCAGAGGGAGGAATGGAGACAAAGGGTGTGGTAGAAAAGGAAAGCCAAGTGTCATGAAGCAACATGACTAGCCCAACCCTGAGCACCCAAGATTCGGGAATGCTCCACCCATCACCCAAAAGAATGTCACCTGGTACAAAACCCATATACAAAAACCAAAGTAAGGGACAAGCTACACCAAAGTATGTGTATATGTACCCCCAAACGTAACTGATCTCCAAAACTACACTTGGGACTCCCAATAACCTGAGGAGTTCAGGCTCATCAAGGAGAAAGGCAGGAATAGAATGAAAAGAAATGGGATGTAATGATAAAGCAAATCCTCCCTGATGAAATAGGTCTACCAAAGGGAAAGGAGGCCTCGACACCTCACCAGAAATTACACGTGACTGGGAGTCATAGACAGGAGGAGGAACTAGCCAGCTCAAATCCTCATCATCATGTACAGACATAGCATTACAAAGTATAGGAGGAATCAGCAGATGCTCAAAAGTACCCAAAAATGTAGCCAAATCCTGACAAACCAGCCATTACATCCTGAGTCAATAATGCGACAGACAAATCAGCTGTAGTAGTTACAGCCAAAGAGGAAGAAGCCACGTGGAATTTCACATACATGAGAAGTGGAATTGACAGGAAAAAAAAGGTTTAACTCCAAATAGAATTCACAAAACTGTACAAAATTCCCAAAATTTATGATTGAGAGAAAACATAATACATGCCATAAAATGAAAATATAAACTTTGGCAATTAAAAAAAAAAAATCAGTCTGAAAACACTAGCAAAAACATGTTCAAACTGTAAGACTACCAACTGAGAACTGGTTAACAGCTGCAAGGTTAGAGAGGGTACTAGTTATGATAGGGGTACTGTTGCACTCCTGTTGATGGAGGGTTGCTCCATAATCATTTGCATGTTAGTATGCAGATATCTCACATTAAGATACATAAGGGTAAGTGGGAGTACCAAGGCTTCTTTGATAGATTGTTTAGGTAGAGTATTCATGATGAAACTTTGTAGAATGGATGGCAACTGTAGAGGATGATGTTTTGAAAGTCTTTCGCCTGAAGATGAAAGGCAGAAGACTTTCGAAACGTCATCCTCTATACTTGTGTCTCTACAACAGGCACTTGCCATCCATTCTACAAAGTTTCATCAGTATCAAGGCTATTGGCGAGCAAAAATTTGCATCAACAGAGGGCAGTATAAGTCAAGAAAGATTTTTGTAAGAGGAGGTAAGATATTGTATCGGAATGCATTTTTCTTTTTAACAGGATACTTCCTACCCTCATCACTCCTAAAATAAATAAAAAAGGGAGCTAGGCAATATGCATTTATATGTGGAACCACAACATTCTCAGGTTTGGTAAGGTGGTAGCATAATGGATCAGATAGCATTTCATTGTACTGTACCTGTAGTAGAAGATTCTTGGAAGAGTAGACCAGCAATAGCTAATGACGAGGTATAATACTGAGTGTATATCTACAATCAAAAAGCCAGCCAACCCAAGTGACACCCAGAGAGAGTCAAAAATACCCAGGCAGACTCAAGGAAGGGCTCTAGTACTCGAAGACAGTGCACTGGGGAACACCAAATAGGTTAACAAAGTTAAATATAAAGCATTAAGGTGTACACTCTATTGGTTATACATATGAGACAGTATATGGAGAGCATTCCTCAAATATTTGATGTCTTTAATAGCATGCAAAGCCTTGCACTTGAAAGTAGGAAAGGTATCAGCCACCATATGGAATTCTATGTCAACATGAAGCTGCAGACAGAAGGTGAAATTTTGTCTAAGATAATAACAGAGGTACAAACAACAGGCAAGAGTCCCAAGTAGATGAATCCATTCAAATGTGAAGACCTTTTTCTTCATCTTATTTTTTACATCAAATGATTCTACATCTCCAAATGCCCCTTTAATTATTAAAAGGGATGTTGGGCCTTATAGCGATATAAGGGGTTAACATGCACAAAAGTGGTGTATACAGGTTTTAGCTAAGCAGTTAACATAGAATAACTCACCTGTTAGGGATTCCATCCAGATTAAAAAATCACAACCAGGTGCAAAGTGATGAAATAAAATTTTACGAAAACATATTCAAATTAATCAACATTCTGGCCAGCAAAATATCCTCTAAGGGTTACTACAACCAGGATGCCAAATGGAGAATTTTGATGAAATGTAACCCAAAATTCACTTTGAGGATATAGAGATACACATTAGTAAACAAGATGGATCAACTGCACAAGAGTGCAATTCATTGCAAGGTATAAATACATTTTTACAAGACCCTCTGACAAATTCATCATGTATAAGAAAACAGGAAATAGCCTTAACAGGACAGCAGAGGAAGGTGTAAACAGTGTCAACAATGGAAAACATTTGTCCCAGTCACAGTGTGATGGGGTAGGAGCACTGGGAAACATACGTCCCAGCCACAGTGAATAGGTTAAATTTACTGCTTCCACCACATCTGAAAGCAGCCCATTCCAAAGGCTAACTATTCTTTTAGGAAAAATAAAGCTGTCTTAGTCGAAAATGACTCCTTCCCTGCCAAAATTTATATTTGTATGCCATAGTCCAACAATTCTTCCTATTAAGTATGAAAAATGCATCAATTCCACTAACAATCATAAACACCTCTAACTTTTCTCTTCTCAAGAAAAAAAATTTCAAAGACCTTAACCTGTCCTCTTATGGTAACCATTCCATCTTCTGACCCTTTTCCCACAATATGATGTTCTACCTAAGGTAAGAAGCCCAAGACTGAACACAGTACTCTAATTAGGGCCTAATCAGAGACCTGTAAAATGAAAGTTTAACCTCTTTAGACTTTTATTCAGCATTTCTTTAGATACAACCTGAAATTCTATATTTTTTACCATTAGCAACAACACTGTTTTGGTGGCTTAAAGTGACTGAACAATCAGAACACCAATATCCTTTTTTCTCATAACACTGTTATTCCCAATAAAATTTATTTATAATTCAAATTAAGGTAATTCATATGCATTACCTTGAATTTATTAAAAGTCATCTACCATTTATTTTCCCAACTAAACAAATGATCTAAATCTTTTTGTAAAGCAGTAGCATCCTCCTCATAGTCAGCAGCACCAAAGACCTTAATATCATCAGCAAATTTGTGTAATTTATACACCAATCCTTTATCTATGTCACTTAAGTAAATCCAAAACAGCAAAAATCATAACACTGAGCCTTGAGGTACTCCACTTGTGACTTCATACAGTTTGACTGAACTCCATTTATTACAACCCTGTTTTTTTTCATCCAGCCACTTTTCTATCTGATGAGCCAATTTATTCCCCACACACCAGATATCATTTCTTAATAAACAACTAGTCTAATGCTTTCTGCAAATCCAAGTGCAATAATTCCACACCCTTACCCTAATTGATTCCTGCAGTAATTCCTTCAGAAAATATCAAAATAATATTAACGCAAGAGTTTTCAATAGTGACTATCCAATAAAATTTTAAATGTTAAATGAGTTTGCAAAGCCTCTTTCTTCAAACTTTCAAAAACTTTTCTCACTACTAGTGTAAATGTGTAAGACTAATAGACTTATAACTACCTAAACAATGTTTATCACCTCCTTCAAAAAGATTTTACATCAGCAAACTTCCTACCTTCTGGCACCTGCCTGCTATTATTTAAGGTTTTTGCAAAAACATTTAGCAAGTACTTGACATATCCAGTCCTTAACCCCCTTCAAAACACTTATGGAATATATCTAACCCAGAAGCCTTAGCTTTCTTTAACCTTCCTTTTTTTCCTTCAGAAGCTCAGAATTAATATGCTTACCTTATTCAACCATGTTTCCATATAGCAACTATTCAGAATAAGGGATATTGCTTAAATCTTCATAAGTAAAAATTGAAGAAAAGTATAATTCATCAACTGAGTCATCTCATAATCTTCAGAAATGAGCTTTCCCCCAAAGGCCCTACTCCAGTTCTAACATTATGCTTATCCTTAATATAAATATAAACTAAAGTGAGAAAACTTTCCTATTAATTTTTACAAATTATGCCAACCTTTTTTCATACACCCTTTTTGATTTCCTATTGTACTGTTTGACCTACTCTCTTATGATTCTCTAACTTCTAAATCAACCATCACAGCAGTCAATTTAAATTTCTTAAATTTATAATTATAATGCTTTCCTAATTTCATCACTTATACTTTTTGTGAGCCAATCTGGTCTTTTACTTATGCTTTCATTGTTACAGCCACCCTTTTTTCTTTATGAAAGTATAAGGGGCTTGCCTATCTTGCATATTCAAAAAATTATACAATTGATTAGTATCTCTAAGTCTAATTAATTCAGTTGCACAATTCATAACATGCAATTATTGTCACACCTCTACAAACTTTTTAACCAAATAATCTCATGAAAAGGGTGCAAGGACAGCCTTGAAAGTTAAAGAACTAAATGCTCCCTTGCTATTCTTACCTTACTCAGAGGTAGCCTAAATCAATACTTATATATTATTATTAATTATCATTGTATACTATTAAAATCATTCAGAAGAGCCTTGACTTAAGTTAAAATGTTATATATGAATAAAAAACAGTCTTTTAATTTCATTTATAAATTTAAGTTTAAATGTCCACTGAACATATCCAAGCTTACCTTTGATGTGAGAAATAGAATATAGAGATATTTTGAGATAATACAATGCACGAGTAAAAGTTAACAAACGTAAATTTAAAATATCCAATACTTTTAACACTACTGGTAGTACCACTATGTAGCTAAATGATAGGAGTACCGCAATTATTCTTGTGCATATAAAAATAACTGCTGCCCTCTGACGAACGAAATTTTAAATACTTTTTCATGTTTCAATATCATTTTTATTGGGTGTGTGTGTTTTTTATATCAAAGCCATATAAGGCTATCTGCTGTGTCACAATAAACTCCAGGAGACTGCACAACGATTACAAGAATTAATCACCCCCCCAGCACTGGTCTTCACTTTGCCTTCCCGACTTGGGACTTACTTCTTCTCAATAATAGAGCACTGGTAACGGATCAGACGTTACCAGTGAAAGTGGGTTTTCCCGGGGCACTCCCATTTCCCCCACATTAAATTCTCGGCATAGGATTTCTAAATCCCCGCCGCCCTGAAGAACCATCTGTCCGATATCGGCCGTTTTGTGTTTTGTCTAGCCTCAAGGTACTCTGCTTCACTTTTTTAAAATTTTAATTTTTAATTTTCTCCTTTTGTTTACTTAATTACCCTTAGCCCATTCGGCTCAGTACTCCGCTGACCTCTAAACGTCATGTAACCTTTTACCACGAGCAGGGTGAAGAGGGATTGTTTAATCTTCGAGCACCCTAGATTAATAATTATTTCCTTCAGAAATAATTATTTTTGAATCTAAATAACTGCCAGGAACAACCAGAGAAGGAGGCTGTGAACGAGAGAGAGTGGGGAACCAAGGACAGCAGTTACGGTCGGCGGGAACCGAGGATAGCAGATACAGAGATCGGAACTATAGTTGCTGGCAGGCGGAGATAGAGACGGACAATTAAGTCAAGCACGGTAGAAAGTGAGTGAACTGTTATGAACTATAGTGTGTGTAACTGTGAAAATTAAGTGTATTGCAAAGTTGTATTGAAGAAGAATAAACAAGATTTATTTAAGAAAGGACAGGTATCGTAGAAAAATTAACAAACAAACATACAGAGGCGTAAAAAATTGGTGTCAGAAGTGGGACAGAAAATAAAAAGAAGATGCAAACGAGAGGTGGCAAATCAAACTACAGCTTAGCAGACTTGATGGCAGCAATACAAGA